GAAATAAAACCCAGGTCTTCTCGCTTGCAAGACCAGCGATCTAACCACTAGGCTACAGGGCTCCTGGTGTACACTCTGGCCAATGCTTCATCTTACTCAAGTGAATATAATTCTATCGGTTAAGAGAGTCTGCGTTGAAATCATACCGTTCTTCCTTACAATAGTGCGACGCCGAGCCTGGCATTTGGGGCTTTGTTTCAGCATTTTATGCTGGTGGATTTCAACAAACCGAAAGGCTCATGTAGATTTTGCTCCTCGGGCTACAGACGGGGAGAAAAACACACAGAATTATTGGGCCAACAATAAATGTATTGTGATGGTGCTGGCAGAGACTCTCTGCCTGGAATGTGCCTGAAGCATGGTAAGGTAGACAGCAATGCAGCACACTTAAACATTATTAGCTGTCTGCAATCTGCGCTGTAGATACTAAAGTGGAAACGCACAGTATTTTCAAACAGCTCAGTTTCCTTAAAAATACAAATAGGAAATGAAGGAAGAATCTCTTGTCAATTACTTTGTTTTCCTTCTCCCCCACCGCCCCCCCCCCCCACCCCCCACCCCCCACCCCACCCGCACTGGACTGCTTCGTTCGCTTGCAAACATAAAGCAAAATGAAATCGCATGCATCACAATAGCTGGGGTGCAAAATCGGATGTTTCCTAAGGGGACTTCACGTGCTCGTTATCACATGGAATCCGGTGTGAAATGCGGCACGTTTCAATCCGATAATTGTTTAATTATTGCATTTAATTTGTTTGAGGATATAACTGTAAAAATAACAGTAATCCATGATAAAGCGCCTTATCACGCCATTGAGATGTCTCAAAGTGCTCCGCACACACACATATATATATAAAATAATCCCCGCATTTGATATAGTGCCGAATACATCTCAAGAACTCTTCACGTTATGTACTTGTGAAGTGCAGTGACTGTATCTTGTAGGCAAAGTAATAATCGCGCACAGATTGAATATTGCCAGCTTTTTATTTAATGGCACCTCAGTACTGTCTGAAATGTGGATCGCATCAATAAAGTGAAATAGGGTTGCAAAATCGTCACTTCTTCAGGTAACCGCTGGCCGCATGTGTGTCGGGCTACCTCACAGGAGCTCTGCTCCGAAAGGAAGTGACGTCGCAGCAGGTTTTCCCGTACGATGACGTTTGTTACAGGGCCTTTCACGGCGGGAGGACGTCCTAAGGCGTGAGATAAGCCACACGTCTGGTGATCTGCTGGATTCACGAGATCGCGAGAGAGATTTAGATGAAGAGGGCCCTCCGGCTCTTTCGATCACATCCTGTTTTTGGGTTTCCCTCCAGAAAGATAACCTAACTCTTACGGGCTATGGAGGGAGCGGAGAAGGATGAACTCGGCCCCCGGGCAACCAGTTGGCCCACTCTGATTATGAGTTCACATGTTACACCAACAGACCTTTAGCTGATGTCACAAAAGAAATTACAAGCAGGAGCCCGGTAATCGAAAATGAGCGTCGACAAAATGTCTGTCAACAAAAGATAAACCCACAAAACTTTTAGCCTTAGTGACTAAGGCACCCGGGGATGGAATCTTACTTTCTAGAGAGGTTTGGGATACTTCATTACCCGTACAAGTGGGGTGAAAGTTAATGAGGTTAGCCCTGGAAGAGATGATCTGATGGTGAGGAGTAGACAGCTTAAGTGTATTTACAAGCGGAAAATGAGATATCAGAAGCGACCTTGTCTTTCAATTGCTTACAGGAAACCATAGGACAGGAAGCCATGATACGTTTGCCTAACTCATTTGCAACTGTGGTTGAACGAGTCTTTAAGGCATGATGCAGGTGCAGCACAAATAGTTGGCGGAGTTTAACAGATACTTTTAACCTGCTCAGTATCAAATATCAAGTGAACACGTGGCACATTGTCAAATCACGTTGGAAAAAGGGCTTCGGCTAAGAAACAATGTCAAGTAACCTGGACGTGTACCATGGCAATAACACTGGGAGCAAATGGGAAAAGATGTAGTTTAGAAGATACGTGAGCGGGAAGTGATGTAGAATTGATTGTATGAGTGAGGCCAACATTCACGCTTAGATGCTGATGGTAATAAATAATAATATTGAATGTCTCAAAGCTGTTCACAGTAATTTCCGTTATATGTAACAACAGGGTATTTCTAAGTGAACACAGCAGCCAATTTACCCACAGTACTGCCCCACAAACAGTCCATTTTTACATACATACATACACACATGTATATATGAATATACACCCTGACCCTCAGCTCGGGTCCGTAACTCTGTCTGTCCAACGCCTTGGGACGTCCTCCCGATGTGAAAGGTGCTATACAAATGTCATTTTGTTGTAGTTGTTGTTGCTTTATCCGGGGATTGTTGGCCAGGACACTGGGAGACAATGTTCTTCTCTTTTCGGGCAGTGCCATGGAATCTTTATCATCCACCTGAACAGGACCTCGGTTTTAATGTCTCATGTGAAGGTCGATACCTCCAAAATCCCTAGCAATGCATTGGAGAGTCAGCCTGGAATGTGAGCTTAAAGTCCTAACATGGGGCTTGAACCTACAGACTTTTGACTCGGAGGTGAAAGCGCTTCTAATTGAGTTGGGCTCAGACACATACTAAATGATGACAAAGCAGTAGGAGTTTACACCAATTGCTTCAAGCAGCATAGGTCCTAGATTTAGTAACTTATTTCGAACAAACTCATGTCTCTCCAGAGTGTTTGCAACTCTATAAAGAACTATTTCTAACAGGACTGCTTGTAAAACAACACCATTGTCATGTATATATATAATGTATGTGACGTATACGCTTAGCCTACAGAGTACACAGTCACTCTCTCTAGAGCAAATCCTGTGGAGAGCATTGAGATGTTACGACGACGTGATCTTTTTGGTTATGTAACCAAAGCTGGTGCACGATCGGACACTGTACCCTCAGAAAGAGGGGCCGCAATGCTAACTTCCATTTTCAGCTCCTTTAGGCCAGTGCAGTAAGGATAACATTGACTGCTTGTGGCCTGCTTACTTCCTGCTGAAACCACATGCATTCAGTTCGAATTATTTCTACACAGAAGCCGCTGTGTCAAGTCACACCTTTTCCCCATTACATCAGGCAACATAGGCATGTGATACAACATGTAATAGTTCTGTGTTGTATAGTTCCATATAGCAGTGACTAAATGTACCATATTAATAATAATAATCCTTGCATTTTGATATGGCGCCTTATCCTGTCATTGAAACATCTCAAGACACTTCACAGGATATACTGTAAAGTGAATTGAATGTGTATTCTGTGGGCGAAGCACTGTTACTGGTATCCCATAATTGATAAGCATTTGGTTATTACATTTTGGGGAATATTAAATTGAATAGATGCTTTGGACCAAATCTGTTATTGATTTCATGTGACATTGCACAACTCACAACTAATGCCAGTCTTATTTCCTGCTGATTACTCTTACACAACCTCCACTGCCCTCGGCTACTTTCGCTTGGCAAGAAGATTCTGCGTTATGATAATGTGTACAAGCATCAAAACACTACACGACGGCTGCTGTTTGGGTCGAGTGAGTGTTGATTGGTAGGCAAATGAGGCAGTCATTTTGCGTGCAGCAAAGACCCACAAGCACCCAACACCCCAGGGTGCAATCCTCACGATCAATTGGTCATTAGCGAACGGGAGGACTTTTGGGTCAACAGTTGGGTCAATCCTTGTTCAATAGTTCCCTGGGTTCTTCATGATCCGCTCGACAAAACGGGCAGAAGAAAACTTGGTTTGTTTAACGCTTCTTCCAAAGGATGACAATGCAGTTCGCTCCAATCGCCACGTAGGAATGTCAACAACAACAACTTGCCTTTATATAGCGCCTCGATGGAGGATAGTTAATTAGTGGCCCGCAGCCTGGATTGCGAGCTCAACTCCTGACATGGGGGGTTCAACACGCCATTTTCTGACCCTTAAGTGAGAGCGTTTCCAAATGAGGCAAAAGCGGACACCTCAAGTGTACTGCTTCGTGACACTTCTCATTATTATTAACGTTGGGACTTGCACACGTCAATTACTTAACTGTCTTCGTGCGCATGTTATTGGGGAAACGTACGCCTGGGTCTAGATTTGCTCCACTTAAGTGGTATTTCAAAACGTCCAGATTGTGGCAAATGAAGTGCATTCAGTCTTAACTTTGAAAGCGGTTTTCCTTAAAATAAACGTGCAGAAAACCAACTTGGAGATTGAGGCCCTGCGGAAATATAGCAGATAATTATCACAAGCCAAAATGGTCACCGAACTCCTGGGGGTGGGGTTGGCGGGAGGCTACTCATTCCTGATGGCCACTGATCATTTTTGACTGAAGTGACCGCAGGCCCTAAAATTCCACCTAGTCCTAGCCTGTACGCCTTGACCATGGTACCTGAAAATTTCAGGTTGGGCAGCATTGTGGGAAAGCTTCAAACCCGGCCAGGATTTCGGAAGCTGCTTTTCCGCAGCTCCTAAAAAAGAAAGACGCCGTCTTCCGAATAAGGATTTAAATTTGCCGATTGTCCACGCTTCTACCGGATTGTAAATTTTAAGACAAAGCGGGTCGCGCAGGCTGGGGTGGGACTGGGTGAAGCCTTGCGAAAATTATCACTGGTGTGAAAATCACCACTGGTTTGGTGATCACATCATTTCACTTCAGGGCGGTTTATGGGACATTGTTGTGTGCAAATTGGCGTTTCCCTACATGCTTACTTCAGAGTAAAATCCCGTTAAGCTCTTTGCGATGTCGCGACGTGATAAGGCGCTGAATTCAGATGCAAGGACTAATTAATACTAATGCCACCTCCGATTTCCATGTCCATCCTGGCTTTGGGGCAGGCTGAAATTCTACATGGACTGTAAATCAATTCGCCTTACGGTGCGAGGCGCTTAGAGACGTCTCGAAGACGTGATAAGGCGCTGTATCAAATGCAAGGATTACATTGTGTGTCTGTGTGTGATTTTTTTTCTTTCGAAATAGGTACAAAAGGAGGACAAACTCGGTGCATTGACCCTGAAGCAAAGACAACTGCAGCGACCATGCGTGACATTGCCTGCTGTCTGCCGTTTTTCTTCGGCAGCATATCCCGGTCAGAAGCCGACGAATACCTACGGATGGGGGGGATGTCTGACGGACTCTTCCTGCTGCGTCAATGTCTGCGCAGCCTTGGAGGCTACGTCATATCTATTGCCTACGAGTCGAAGATCTACCACTATACAATTGAACGGCAGATGAATGGGACGCTGGCCATCTCTGGCGGGAAGCCCCACTGTGGGCCTGAGATTCTGTGTGAGTACTACTCGCGGGACGCTGACGGACTGTGCTGCGTACTTCGCAAGCCTTGCATCCGGCCGTCTGGTGTGGAGCCGAAATCCGGCGTCTTCGACAGTCTTAGGGACAGCATGCTGAGGGAGTATGTTCGTAAAACGTGGAACCTGGAGGTAAATGCTTTTACGTTGACCCCGCCTGACGGGGGTGAAAGGCGGGCTGGTCTTATTATAATAGTAATAATAATAATACTACTACTAATAATAAATAATCATAATGCTTGCGGATTGGGACTGTACGTTTTGTGGGCGAAAAGCGGCAGTCGATAACCCATTTTGTTTAAGGGATTATTACCCCCAGAAAGCGATCCGCCAATCGACTAACCACTGCCACTTCTTGATGGCCCCGTGGGCCATTTCCGGCCTGCGGGCCACAGGTTGGCCGCCACTGACTATTAGCTCAAAGTCCCGATGTGGGGCTTGAACCCACAACCTTCTGACTGAAAGCTGAGAGTGATGCTATCTCATCCACTGAAACGTAATCCCAATTCCCGGGTCATAACCATAGCCTTTCTGGGTCTTCCTTTTAAGATATTTCTCCAGTATTATATCATTTTAGATGTTACGATTACTTTACCAATTATAATGCTCTACTGTAACAAGGCAAGCCATTCTAAACTGTTACCCTGACTGTGTGGCCTCCTGTAAAAGCAATGGTTAGTACCTCATTCAATGGACTCAGGTGAAAATATTCCAGTGGTAATCTCCATCAATGAATTGGTTCTCAAACAAATTACAATCACCTTCCAATTTGGCTGCAAAGAAATATGATGTAAGTGAACCTGCACGACTTTACATAGAATGTTACAGCCCAACTAGTCCGTGCTGGTGTTTGCACTCCACACAAGCCTCCACCTCTCCTGCACCTCTATTCTTTTCTCCTTCATGTATGCATGAAATTTCCTCTGAAATAAGTTGATGCTTTCAGCCAAAACCATGGCTTTACACAACAACAGAAGCCCCAACTGCCAATGGCGGGGCAGGCGAGACGGGGGACGTGAAGAAGGCTGGAGCCCGCTGAGCGGAGGGAGCGAGCAGGTTGCTAGGGGGGGTTAGGAGGTCGCAGAGGTAGGGGGGAGCAAGGCCATGGAGGGCTTTGAAGGTGAGGACAGGATCTTGATCTGTGTGATGGGAAGCCTGTAGAGTCGGGCGAAGATAGGGATGATAAGGTCATGGAACCTGGTGTGGGAGAGGACATGGACTGCAGAGTTCTGGATGATCTGCAGCCTATGGAGGGAGGAGTTAGGGAGGCCGACAAGCAGGGAGTTTGCATGGTCAAGCCTCGATGTTATGAATGCGCGTATGCGTGAATTCATAAGAACATAAGAATTTGCTGGCGAAAGAAGACCAAGGTCCATCAAGTTGGCCTTCTACCATCCTGGCAGTCGCTTGATATGTCCTGTCCTAAACTATATACAGTACTGTGCAATTCTGGCAGTGAGTTCTACATTCTCATCAACCTCTGAGTATAGATGTTCCTCCTAAACTCCCTTTTAGATTCATTCGTGGCTGATTAATGTTCATACTCCCTCATGTTGGACTCGCCGACATGTGGACCTCTCTCTTACGTCTGTTACTTTCATCGTTGTGTAGAACAGGAACAAGTTGTTCCAATTCGAGAGAGGGTCACTTTGATGATCGCCCATCTTATTGGAAACTGCAGCATTGTGCCTTTGCACTTTCTACACAACTTTGGGTTGCAAGTCAAAAAGCCAACTGTACCGTGCACACTGCAGAGGTATAATTCTGCGGTTGCGAGCGAGACTTAATTCTTCATTGGGTAGAAGTTTCCTGTAAAAGGACAGAGTTCAGAGAGTTGGCTTTTGTTTGCACAACCCCTTGCCTGCTTCCAGCCACCACTGGTACTATTTCCATACAGCGGTTTTGAAACGTTACTCTGTCAGATTGTGAAATCAAACCTTATTCAATTTGGGTTATTCAAAAACTGAGCATTGCTTTCGAACGCCTGAGACACACCTCCCTGAGCGAATCGACAAGCGAACAATTGAGATAGAGTTGAACGGACATTTTTTGGCTTGTGGCTTTTTTTCGGAACTTTTCATAAGTCTCCAATAGTTTACGCACTGCACCGCAGATGATAAAGATACACCTTCCCCCACACCCCACCACCTCCCATCACCCCAAGGTAGTCTGCGTTAGAAATGGTCGGACGAAACATTGACCATGTGATGTGACGATTATATGTCTTTCCAACGTGTAGAGCGCTATGCAAGTTGTTGTTGGTGATTATTGGTGATTATCTAACACCCCAGAAACAAACAAAAGTACAGCCAGGTCAACAGCAACAACAACTTGCATTTATACAGCGCCCTTTCCGTTGGATAATGTCTCAGAGCAAAGGGAGGGCACCAGGAGAAACTCCCTTCTCGTGAGATCAATCTAAGAGAGCAACATGGACCAGTGATGTATGGGTGAAAAATGCAAGGTTTCACAGCATATTCCCATGTGCCAACGATACCATGATAATAACAATATACATTCATATAGCGCCTTTCACGTTGGGAGAACCTCTCAAAGTGCTTGAGCTGTGGGTGGGAGCTGAGTGGGGTGGAGGGTGCGGAGGAAAAAAAATGATTAAAAGCATGGTCAAAGAGACATATTTTGAGAGGGGCCATGAATGAGAGGAGGAAAGGAGAAACAATTTCCTCTGGTGGGGGGAATCCAGAACAAAGGGACATAGTCACAAAATTAGAGCAAGGCCATTTAGGAGTCAAATCAGGAGAGGCAGTTTTCCACCCAGAGGGTAGTAGAAATCTGGAACTCTCTCCCCCAAAAGGCTGTGGATACTGGATCCATTCACATCTTCAAGACTGAGGATAGATATTTGCTAGGTCAGGGTATTAAGGGATATAGGGCAAGGGCAAGTAATTGGACTTGAGATACAGATCAACCGTGTTATTATAGAAGGGCGGAACAGGCTGGAGGGGCTGAATGGCCTACTCCTGTTTCAATGTTTCAAAAAGGAGCGAGTTGGAGGGACTCCGGAATGGAGTTCCATAGAGCGGGGGAGCAATGGCTGAAAGCTTGTCCTTCGACTGTAGGGCAGATAGGCCAAGAATGGGATGTGTTTGCTGATTTTAATGGACCAAATGGCTTGTTTCCGTTCTGTGACATTTTACAACCTTTCAGGAGTATTTTATTGCTCAGTCAGTCATCAAATCGTTTATAAATTCCTACTGATGGGGTGAACACGCTGTGCAGTCTACTAAATATAGCAATTTCAGATGCAAATTGCATCAGTTGAGTCCAAATCTAATAATAATAATCCTTACATCTGACAGAATCTTGTCATGTCACAGAGACGTCTGAAGTGAATCGACTGTATATTTTGTGGGCGAAACGAATCAGGAACAATCGAATCAATTTCTAACAGTTTTCTTTTCAAAACAGTTCATCCCGGAAACAAACAAACCGCACTTGGCACTTGCACCAAAATGTAATTCAATTTACGCGCTTCGCAAGACGGAAGCATGTCGAAGTTAATAAACCAGCCTCGAGTTTCATACGTCGTGTTGCACAGAGGTTTCGGTAGTGTGTAGTGACTGTGTATTGGTGGGCAAATGTGGCAGCGAGCTTGGTCCCAAACAGCGATGAAGTGAATAACGCAATAATAATCCTTGCATTTGATGCAGAGCCTTATCACGTCTTCGAGACGTCTCAAAGCGCTTCACAGAATATACTGCAAAGTGTAGTGACTGTGTACTTTGTGGGTGAAACGTGGCAGCCAATTGCGCCCAGCGATTGAATGACTCGCTTTTTTTTAATCTGGGGGAATTGCAGGCCAGGACACCGGGAGAAACTACCTTTGCTTTTGGAATCATTAGGAACGTGGGATCTTTAACATCCAGATAGACAGGACCCTCAGCAATAACCCCGTCCTGGGACGCCACCTGGCGGACATTTCAGTCAATGGTTTTAAGATCACTTTCGGAGGAAACCGCACCAGATCTTTGTTGCTTATTGAGGATTAAATTGTTATCATTTGCCGGCTCAGAAATGATGGAGCTGAGAATACGAACTGCACACCAGTGGTTTAATACTCATGATAGGTTATAAGTGTTAAAATACCTCTGACTATTTATTATACGACATTAAATGATATGAATTATCTTATGAATCAAATAAAATGATATTTAATATATTGTAAATGTTAAAAAAAACAAAATTTCTGCGCTCACTCTCAGAATTTGTAGTGCAGTGAGTGGGAACTGAATACATCCATGGACTGTGCACAGCGCAAACCCTCAGCCAAGTAACTTCTTAACTAACAAATGTTATTACGTACATTATTCTTCTTTGTGTCAGCCGGCTGTCTGACATTGGTGGCAAGCCGTCCATCCTGGGTTTAAGTGTATCCAAACCAGACTGAGAGTACCACACACGTCTGACACACAAACACCTGGAGATTTTTCCGTGCCTGGGATGGAAGGTGCACTCTCTCCCTAAAAAGATGCATCACTGTTTACCTAACACCAGGGATTATTAGGCACAGGCCGGCAAGAACCAAGGCTTGGGGACTCCCAGAGTGTGCGTTGGGGTAACTGCTGGAGTTTACCCAGCTTACCATCGAGAGCGCTGTCTGGCAAGCTTCCCGCTGCTTGTCCAGCGAGGACCACTCTACCCATTACGGCTTTGCCTTGCAGGGTTAACGGGAGTTGAGTGAGAAGAATTCCTGCCCACAGTGACTGGTCTGCCCCTCCAAATCCTGCCACTGAGCCAGGCTGGACTGTGCTGTCATCAGCAGTGTCCTGGAAATACTACAGGACCAGCCTCCATAACCTCTACAGAGAATTGATTTGATTCTGACATTATATTGCCAAGCCCGTCAGTCAGGAGGCAGCTCAGCTCCAAGGAGACCCACTCCTCCTCCGATACTACGGAGTCCTGTAGCTCAGTGGTTAGAGCACTCGCTTTGCAAGTGAGAGACCCGAGTTCAATTCCCGGCAGAGGGTGAAACCTCGGGCAAGTTTCCTTACTCCACACAGAGCCTAATAATAATCCCTCCAAAAACCCAAAACAATAGTTAAATTGGTCATTTTCAATCTACGACTGTTTGTGGGACATTGCTGTGCGCGATTGGTTGCCGCGTTCGCCCATAAATATACAGTCAATTCACTTTACAGTGTGAAGCGCTTTGGGATGTCCTCCCGACGTGAAAAGCGCTATATCAAATGCAAGGATTATTATTATTATTATCACGACTATGTAACATGAATCTGGTTTCCTGTGTCTGCAAATAATGCCTGAAACATCCTCCAGGTGGTGCCCTAAGACAAGATTTGTAATCATTTACAAGTCTCAGTGTCGCGGCTGTTACTTATAGAAACATAGCAAAACAGGGAACAACAGGAGACCATTCACAGTTCCACCAGTTTATGAGAATTTGGCAGATCCTTTTATCCTTATGCACATAATAATATTATTAATAATAATAATAATCCTTGCATTTGATATAGTACCTTATCACATCTTCGAGACGTCTCAAAGCGCTTCACAGAATATACTGTAAAGTGAATTGGCTGCTTATATTGTGGGCGAAACGTGCCAGCCAATTGCGCACAGCAGCGTCCCACAAACAGTGGTGGATTAAGTGACCACATATTTTGAGTTATGAGACATGACCCTTCAGAGGGGGAGGGGGAAGTACCTGCCATTACATTGGGAGCCCTTTCTAAGGGTGGGTGTCAAACCAACCCCAAGAGGGGATCCCCGAGAAGCTGAAAATCCATGTTGACAATGACACAGATTTTAAATTTGGAAGCAAGAGTCGACATAAATAAGCATCAATAAAATTCCCCCATTAACTTAGTGCTAGTTTTGCGCTCTCTACAGTTTAATTTCACTGCAATTAAGATCTAATTTCAGACTTCGCTAAAAGGCAGTGTGCCCAGTTAAAGCTGAAGTTCTACGCAGTGGTCGTTTGATGGATAAACTTACAGGGTTCACCTCTCTTGTCGAGGTCCGTTTTTGCTTAAGGAATAAATTGATCCAAAAAAAAAAAGCCTTTGGCCTTCAATAGAGTAGCTTGCTTTCAGCGCATTCGTGTACACACTTTGTTTCGAAGAGATAACTTCCAATGTTTCGCCCACAAAATATACAGTCACTACACTTTTACAGTATATTCTGGGAAGCGCTTTGAGATGTCTCAAAGACGCGATAAGGTGTTCTACCAAATGCAAGGATAATTATTATTATTATATTATAAAAGTTTCAGGAAACAATCTCTCGGCCTTACTGATTATCCACGTAGACCATAAGATCAGTTCGGAAGAGGAAGGCCCATTGGACCCATTTGATCTTATCCTTTTGGAGTACCCACCCTAATGTCTTCCCAGTCTAGCATCCTGGCCTTACTCACGTTTCTTGTCCAACCTGTTACACTCGATGGTTACCCTCTGGGTAACAGAGGATATACTTCCTGGTTTCATAATTCAGTGTTACACTGAGCAGCTTTCATATCACGCCGGTATTATTTACATGGTGTGCGATGAATTTATTTTTGGTTCAGCTCCTGTGGTTTTGTAGGAAACCACTTACCTTTCATGACTGAAGAGCAAGCTTTTCAGAGCGCATACCAGCATACTAACATACGAGCGTGCTAGCATCCCAAAACCACCTGAGTTTATTCAACAAGAGGGGAATTTCATCTGCATTAATAATGGCACCTACATTTCTGTTGAATGAAATGCTGCTGACAATCTCGCCTGCCTTCAGTGTGTGACTTCTGCTTTCCTCATAGACATGGTTCAACTTAGGTTGTTCAGTCCCATGTGATACGATTTTCTTTCTGCGTTATAAAACACGTTTAACTCTAAAGGCCGTTTAATAAAATCCCACACAAGTGAATATGAACTGGAACTAAAGTGAGACGGAGTTGGAAATTGGTTGGCAGAGGGTTGGGATAAAATTTATATTCTCTGATTGACATTTGATGTCCTACTATGGTCAGTTCTGGGTCTTAGATTTTTACGCTTTGCATAAATAACCTGAGTGTAGGAGTAGACGGGTTTATATCTGTTTGCAGTTGGGCTAAAATAGGAAGTATGGTGAATGGTGAAGAAGACACAGATTATAGAGAGATAAAACTGATTATCTGTGGAGCTGATTATTTGTGAAGTCCTGTAGCTCAGTGGTTAGAGCACTCGCTTTGCAAGCGAGAGACCTGAGTTCAATTCCAGGCAGAGGGCGAAACCTTGGGCAAGTTTCCTTACTCCACACAGAGCCTAATAATAATCCCTCCAAAACCAAAAACAATAATAAATTGGTCATTTTCAATCTACGACGGTTTGTGGGACAATGCTGTGCCGAATTGGCTGCCGCTTTCGCCCACAAATATACAGTCAATTCACTTTACAGTGTGTTCTGTGAAGCGCTTTGGGACGTCCTCCCGACGTGAAAAGCGCTATATCAAATGCAAGGATCATTATTATTATTAAAGCGAATGGGCAGGTACTGTTAAACGAGACAAAGCATGAGTTGCACATTTGGATATTAAACTTGCAGAAGGGAATACATGTTGAATGGGGAGGTACGAGATGGTACAGATAACAAAGGGGACAAGGGGTTGAGATACGCTAGCCATTGATAGATATCATAGCAAGTTGATAGATATTTGTCATATCCTTTCAATAATTGATTGTCTGATACCGGACACTTAATCTATGACCGATCAATACCATGTAAACATTCAACATTTATTTGCAAGTACCCTGATCTATCAACTTACGGAATTATTATAGAAAAATTCTGAATCGCAGTACTTATATATGGAAATGAATGAAACTGGGTTGAATTTAATTCATTCTACGTGAGCTCGCGATCTCGCCTGACGCTCTAATGCAGTATTGAATGAGCGCTGAACTGTCAGAGGTGCCATCCTTCAGATGAAACGTTAAACTGAGGTCCTGTTTGGCTGTTCAGGCGGACTTTAAAGAACCCGTGGGGCAGTATGAAAAGAGAAAGGAGTTTCTCCCAGTGTCCTGACTAACAATTGCCTTCAAATTCACGGTCACTATACTTGTCACTACATTCTACAGTAAAATCCTGGTAAAGTGCGTTGAGACATCCTCGCGACATTAAAGTTGCTGCATTTTGTAATACTATAAAAATGTGCTGTTTGCCTGGGATTGGGATTCTCTGTGTTCTCTTCTATTTCGTCTTCAAGACTGAGGTGGATAGCTATTTGTTAGGTCAGGATATTAAGGGATATAGGGCGAGGGCGGGCAATTGAAGTTGAGGTACAGATCAGCCATGATCTTATAGAATGGCGGAACAGGCTCAAGGGGCTGAATGGCCTATTCCTCTTTCTATGCTTCTCTGATTTGCAGGGCGAGGATCTGGAACAAGCAATTATCACTCAAGCTCCACAGTTAGAGAAACTAATTGCAACCACTGCCCATGAGAAGATGCCCTGGTACCATGGTTCCATCTCTCGGTCAAATGCAGAACAACTATTATACTCCAATAACCAGACAGATGGGAAATTTCTGTAAGTTCTGGAAACCTTTCCTTGATATTTTAAGGGTTGTTTTTGTCTTAAACTAAAGTGTAAAGAGGAATGATAATCCATTAATCCGCTAAGAGCAGGTTGGTCTACTGCATTGTGTGTCAGCCTGGCTCAGTGGTAGTGCTCTCGCCTCTGAGTCACAAGGTTGTGGGTTCAAGCCCCACGTTCGGACTTGGAATCACATCATCTAAGCTGACGCTCCAATACAGTGCTGCGGGGGTGTTGCATTGTTGGAGGTGCTGTTCTTCGGATTAGATGTTAAACCGAGGTCCTATTTGTTGTTCAGTTTTGATGTTAACGATTCCATGGCCCTGTTCGAAAAGAGAAGGGAGTTTCTCCCGATGTCCTGGCCAACAATCCCCCAAATAAAATTGGTCATTCGATTCATGTCTGTTTGTAGGACATTACTGCGCGCAATGACATGATAAGGCACTATATCAAATGCAAGGCTTATTATTACAATAATTATAACAATAATTCTGGCATTGCACAACATGCCAATTTCTGGTTCAATGAATCAATTTCTATTTGGTGAACCAGGTGTCTGACACACATGGAAACCCATGGACACTCTTAAAAATATCCCAACCAGGCTGGAAGCTCCACATGCGTATGGTACCTACGCATGGAAATTTCCCTATGGAATGCTCACTGGCTCCCTGCTTACTTAATTCTGGAGAGTATTAGTCGCAGGTTGTGTTGTAATAAGTTAAAGACAATGATTCATTATAAAATCTTCAATTGTGGTGTCAATTGGATATCAGGCTTCATTGTGACTATAACACAGAGTGGTTCTCTTTAGGTCACCTGCGGAAATGTGTATAAGTGCCTATCTGATGAAAATAAAAACCGCAAGATCACAAATAGGGAATTAACTTGAATGCAAGAATTTGGGGAAAGAGTAGACTAATTCATAGTGATAAGCCCAAATATATCAAATGCAATGATTATGGTAATTTCATCTAAGAAATAGTATTTGTTTTCTTTTGTTCCAGACTCAGGGAGCGAAATACGCCAGGAACATACGCACTTTCTATGATCTATGGCAAGACAGTTTACCATTACAAAATAGACATGGATAAGTCGGGAAAGTTTTCTATTCCGGAGGGATCAAAGTTCGATACTCTCTGGCAGGTAAATCACACTTACTTACTCTTCAAACTCACAAGCAGGGGGCTTGTCACATCGAAGGGTAAGGCATGAACGGGCTCCTCAGAGAGACGTGGAGACCATTGCACTTGTACTCAGAGCTTCATGGAGAACAAAGGAGAGTCCAAGCCAATTAGCATGAAACTAGGATACTACGTTCTGAAATTCTGGAACACTCTCCCTCAATCCCTCCGCCTTGCCCCCTGTCTCCCCTTTTTCAAGTTCCACCTGAAAACCTTCTTCTTCGGACCGTACTTACAGCCACCTCCCCCCCACCCTGCCTCTCCCCGCCACAGGGTGAGATTTCTGCCCCGGTCATCGCTCCTGAATACAGTCGGTTGAGGGATGACCACATTGGCCGTATTAACACAATTAAAAATATCAAAAACTATGGACATTCACCCCTAATTCCATTTTAAATGTCAACTAAATTCACCTGTCCTTTGTTTTTGGTAGGGGGTGGTCAGAGGGCACGTTTTATATATTTTTTGTGCTTTAATAAGAACCTTTGCAGACTAAACAAACTGCCACGTTAAATTTTAAAAAAAAAAAAATTCGTCATTTCTGTTCTGTGTTTTAAAGCTGGTGGAATATTTGAAGCTCAAGCCTGATGGAGTTGTCTTTACTCTTCGTGAAACCTGCAACAGCCCGAGCCACCCTGGTGAGTTATGCATTAAGACTGTTTGCGGTGACTGCATTCGAGACCTCAGTCCACCTACTTCAATTGGTAGAATTACGGTTAAACTACAGTGATGATTACCAGTCAGACTGAAGGTGGGGGAGGAATATCTCGTGTGATGTGGTGAAACAATTCATCTGCAGAGCCTTGAGAGAATTCTGAACAACTATTTAGTATTTCTTGGAGGTTCTCAAACTGCTTTTGTTGGGTTTACTCAATGGCCTGGTTGATAAAAGTACCACCTAAGAAGCACTGCAACATCCAGACCAAGAGGTTGTGTGATTGATCCCCGCTGCTCAGCTGAGCCTAACGGGGCAACAGATGGGAGCTGTAATTGATCTCAGTGGAGTCCTGTAGCTCAGAGGTTCGATTCCTCCCCCCCGACCGCCCCCCATTTTGTGTGACTTGTTTTTGCTCAAGTCCCCCCCCCCGCCTTGTGAATGTGAAACATCTCTGCGTGAATACAATGTAATGCACAATGCTCACAAACTCGCTTTGTGGTCACTTGTGGAACCGAACCGATGCTCAGTGAGCTTGACTGACATCGGTGCATGGGAAACTTGTGACTCTTTATCAGCCATCAACCTTCAGCGAAGTGTGTGTGTAAAGGTTGTGTGATAAGGAGCCATGAAGTAGGAATCACATTTTGTGATTTCCTGTCCTCTGACCTGATCGCACAAAAAAGTACTGCTGAACAGCAAATTTAAGTAGGTTGGAAAAAAAACCCATAGGTGATGCTAAATGTGATGGAATAATTAACACATCATGGGTTGTTCCACGTTTCGGTGCGGCCAGTATTCAGCAATGTTTTTGAGTTCTGTCTTAGCCTTTGAAGCCAGTTTGTCGTACGTATTCAAAAAACTTTGAGGAAACAGGCTCCGAAGCAAAGACTTTGTCATATTCCGTGCTAAGTGCAAAGAAAATAAGAGTAAAGCGAGTTAAATAGAGTCAATTCCCTGGAATGGTGAGCTGTCTCCCAAGAAAAAGATCTAAAAGTTGTTCGCATGAAACATAGAAAAGGAATGTTACGCAATGCCTTTGTCTCAAGAGTCAAAATCTCAACCACTGCGTCTAACCAACTTTGGGAATATAACGATATTCCATAAAGTGATGGGACGCAGACATGAGCCTGTGATTTGGTATTTAAAAGATTCTGCTGTCAGTCATTCCACTGCCAGAAACAGGCCTTTCGGGCGCAATTGGCTGCTGTGTTTCGCCCACATAACACCCAGTATATTCTGTGAAGCGCTTTGAGACGTCTCAAAGACGTGATGAGGTGCTATAATAAAATTAAAGGATTACTCGAGCCAACAGATTTGATGTGATCATAAAACGAGACAAACCGCTCCATAGATGCAAAGCTTTTGTGTCAAAAAAGATCGAACAGAATTGGATTTCAACCTAACATTTTTAAAAGAGTTTTTGCTTTCTTTTTTTAAAAAAACACACACACAGGAGCATAAAAGGTGCCAAGGTTATTCATTTTAACTCGCTTGTGTTTCACAGATTCACTGAGACCTCCCTCACTTCCTCCTAATGTAAGTATCACTTTAAAACTATGGTTTGATGTGGTCAACTCCTCTATGTTTTACATCGTACAGTTTTCGTATGTCTCGATTTGGAAGTGGGGTTTAGTTTGGGCTATTGAGTTAAACATAACCCAAAATTTAATCCACAATGCATTGAAGATCGCATGCCTTGGCACGTTCCTCCATTTAGAAATCGTATTTTTATTAGAGTTAGATTTTTGGAAGCAGCCAGGGTGGTTAGTTTGGTCAAAACCATTCCTGGTATTCAGATATGATGTAGATTCAATGCAACATAGTTGGTTTTGTAGATGACACACTTCCGTTCTCTTACCCTATCTTCAAAACTCTCCAAAAATGTACCTTTTTTTAAAAAAAATCTTGCTTTTGGGCCACATGCTTCATTCTCCACTTGTTCCGTCTGTTCTGAAATTGCCCTGTGCATCGCTAATTTCATATGCTCTGTTCCTCTGGCTTGACACGTCTTAAATTATCGTTTTGGGTTTATTTTTCAATTCCCCCTTAAAATGTTATAACCTTGAAAAGGTCCCCTCTGAGATGTCTTCTCTCTCGACTGAAGGTAGTGCAGTCATTTCTGCAGTTCTTTCATCTAATTTGGTCACTCAATCCACGACTGTTTGTGGGACGCTGCTGTGAGCAATTGGCTGCCGCGTTTCGCCCACAAAATACGCAGACAATTCACTTTACAGTATACCCTGTAAAGCGCTTTGAGACATCTTAAAGACATGATAAGGCGCTGGATTATTATTATTTTATTATCCTCATAGCTCTCCTCTACACTGTCACTAGAGCCTAGGAAGCTGCCTTATGTCCATGGTGACCAGAACTGTATGAGGTGCTCTCAAAGTGTGGCCTGATCTGAGCACTATTATAGCTTGACTGTGACATCTGGGCATCTAAACTCAACTGAATTAGCCATACTAATCCCTAACCGAGCACTCTTTACGTTAAAACAAGGGAACTCATTTGAGGTATGTGTAATGCTTGACAGATAAACCTGGAAAAAATACTTTCAGATACTCCAGGGAGTTAGTAGAATAAGAAGCTACAAGCTCAGATAAGTTTTTGGCAGACACCAGGAAGCATTTATTTAAATAGAAGTTAATTAACATCAGGAATGGATTATCACTATCGTTCCACCATTGTAGCTATCACTACATCCCCAAACTCTAGAGCACTCTTCCTCTATCCCTCTGCCTTGCCCCTTCCTTCCCCATCTTCAGATCAAGGCTGATTACCTTCCTATTTGACCGTGCCTATGGTCACCTCCCCCTCTCCATGGCTCGGGGGCGTGCTCTGCCACTGTCAAGCTCTCTGGGACCCTACCCTGCATGAGGGGCGCTATATAAATGCAAGTTGTTGTTGTTGTTGTATCAGGAAGGCTGGTTGAGGCCAAAACCCTGTACTCATTAAAGAAACAGTTTGCTGTTTCAGAAGCACAGGAATAAGAATATTAATGAAACTCGGTCTGATTTTCAGAGACTAAGTGTTGTGGCCCTTAACATCAATGCTGATGGATACACACCAGACCCGGTTAAAGGTAAGTTTCTTAACACTCACCATCGAGCTCTGTGCGTCTGAGCTAATGACTGTCTAAAAGTGAGTGATAGACATCTAGATGTTTGCCGTTTGCGCTGGTACCCAGAAAAAAGATAATGAACTTCCTACTGAAGATTAAAATGATTGGTTGGGTGATATTTTGGAGAGGACATGCCCAGAGTATTTCACCACAAACCATCAGTTCCTAAGAATTGATATCCCCATCTTCTGCTGTGGGGAGTGACTTTGATAATCTGCTTTTATAAATATGCATGTATGCATATATATTATATATATTTTAAAAAAAATGTTGGTCACTCAATCCACGACTGTTTGTGGGACACTGCTGTGCGCAAATGGCTGCCACCTTTCTCCCACAAAATACACAGTTAATTCAGTTTGCAGTATACTCTGAGAAGTGCTTCGAGACGTCTTGAAGACGTGACAAAGCGCTATATCAAATGAAAGTATTATTATTATTAATATTATAAATAAAATATCTTCACAGTCACTACACCTAATGGGAAGTAGACTGCGGGGTATCAAATTGGAAGCTTCTGAGTGTATAGTAATTTACGGTTTGTAATGGAACTTGGAAACCAATCCCAGTCCCAAACAACGGCTGCAGGTTCAGTTGAGTCGAGTCCTTCGATGCTGGACTCGAAATCTGGAATTTGGTGATCAATGATTGGCAGGTAGGCCTTCAGCCTGTCTGCCCCCGACCTCTGGAATTCCATCCCACGGTCCCTCCGCCTTGCCCCCTCCCTTGCCTCCTTCAAGACCCATCTCAAGACCCTCCGCTTCGACCGTGCCTTCGGTCACCCTCCTAACCCTAACCCTCCCCTACCCTCCACCCCTCCTGATCCCAACCACCATCTCCGGTGTGGTCTACCCAGTGCCTTGGGACATCCTCCTGATGTGAGAGGCGCTATACAAATGTAACTTGTTGTTGCACTGAAATAGGAATAAGTTTATAGGGTTAAATGGCCTGTTTGTTTTCTTATGTAATTGACAAATTCTTCTTTGCAGGTAGGGTTCCTCTACCCATGGATTCCAACGTGTTTGGAAGCATCTACAGTGACCCGAAAGAGATGAAGCTCTACCTCCTGCGAGAAAACCTGATGATAGACGAATTGGAGCTGGGATCTGGCAACTTTGGCTCTGTGAAAAAAGGAGTTTATAAGTTGCCAAAGTAAGTAGGAACATGGGAACAGGAGTAGGCCATTGAGCCCCTCAAGCTTGTTCTGCCGTCCTATTAGATCATGGCGGATCTGTATCTCAACTCCAATTACCTGTCGGAAAAATAATTCACATCCGCACCTTGTATCTAGCACTCATAAAAATGACTTGTTTATTGGTCATTGGTCTGACAAATAGGGTTCAGCGACATGCTTAAGTTCTACATACCCATGCCTCCTCTGCATGGATAATCCTTGCATATATATGGAGTGTGCACTCTGCTTGTACAATCCTGGAACGTATCAGAAGAAGGTTGGCAAGAGCTCGATGCTTGTGAACTCAAGAGTGTGCGTTGGGCTATTGCTGGAGTTTAGCCAGCTAAAAGCTACATTGCTTGCCCTTGTTAGCATTGTCTGGCAAGCTGTCCACTACTTGTCCAGTTAGGACCACTCTTCTCAGTAGGGCTTTGACATGTAGGACTAACAGGAGGGGAGTAGGTAGAATCCCTGTCCGGAGTGACCAACCTGCTCCTCCAAGCTGACTGGACTGCCATTAATAATCCATTGGAGAATTGCAGATATGCGGAAGATTGATTCATTTCTGACATTCCATTGCCAGACACGTCACCTTGGAGCCAGCTCAACACCAGAGAGACCTCGCTTATCACCTCCCACCGCTCCCCCCACCCTCCACGAAACCAGGGAAGTTACCTTTGATGGTCCAGTATGTGTAACCAACAAAGGATGCAATTTCCACCCAGCTTTGTACCGAGTCGGTACTTTGGCAATTTATACTCAGCGCTGGTTGGACTCCAGCAGTACCCCAATGCACACTCTGGGGTCCCCAAGCCTTGACACAGCTTGGTTTGGATACTCTTAAGCATGGTGATGGGTTTTCGCATGTGTCAGGCACCCGACTGATCAAAAACAATCAAACAAACCCCCCAAAAAACTGAGTGCTGACATTTCAGTCAGAGCGCGATGGGGATGCTTCACTTGCCTGCAGCATCTCTGGGCCAGAAAGGGGGAAAGAGGTTTACTTTCCTGATAAGTGTACACTGATCTCAGATGGAAGCGTTGCAATATGTGTTTGTTGGCTGAAGGCAAAATGATGCTTGTGGTCCAACAGCCCACTATCATTCACTGTCTAGGCTAAGCTCACACCATAGTGTTACCGTATGTGTGGGAGACTTGTGAGCTGCTGTTGCTTTTGTGTAAACACATCCCACCTTAAGACAGGCGACTCATTGAATATTTCAGCCCCAGTTGGTCCAGTCTATGTTTTTTTTTCCACGCTGTATTTTGTTTTCCACGTGGTACGTGAGTCACTTAATTTAGTTCCATTGTCCATATACCCTTTAATAGTCTTCTCACTAATTCCCTTTTGAAAGGAAGGTCTCGACTCTGCTTCCATCACAGTCTTTGTGGCAGAATATTCCAAATTCCCAGCGCCCTGATTATCTTAAGCTCTTCTTCTCTCTCTTTGCCCACTCATAGAAACATAGAAACAGGAGGAGGCCATTCAGCCCCTCGAGCCTGTTCCACCATTCTATGAAATCATGGCTGAACAGTTCAAATAATCTATTTGTACATTATCATCGGGGAGAAATTCCACCTCGCTCCAGCATTTTAGAACATCCAAAATTTGGCATATTCTTAAATATGGCTTAATCTCAAAAAAGTGTTTCTATTAAGAGTCCAAGAAAAACAGCTTCAAAGACTGAATTCAACAATTTGCCAAATTCTGGATCCTTTCCAATGCTACTCTACAGAGAGATAGAATAAATCTAGATTTGGGTGAATTTTATTCCCAGTTATCTCTTCATAATCTTCTAAGCGACTACTTGTTTTATACCTCTGTCACAGTTTAAATCCTCCTATATTGATCTAGTTAACTTATCTACAAAGTTATTAGGCTTTGGTCTTGGCTAACTTGTGCGTACAGTACTCAGGAAGGGAAGAAAGAAGACAGCAAATTCAGTTTAATTACTAAGGAGAAGATGAAATTACTATATAGCATCAGCCTGGCTCAGCATTTACTGTGCTAATTGCCCACATTTCGCCCACAAAATATACAGTCAATCCACGTTACACTATATTCTGTGAAGCGCTTTGAGACGTCTCATGATAAGGCACTATATCAAATACAAAGATTATTGTTATTATTACTGAAGTCTAGCGACTCTATATTTTGTGGCTGAACCAAGATAAGAGATGGATAGTGACTGAGAAAGTGAAAAAGAGAGGGTTGCTCAGCTCATGTGCGATCGCAAAAGAACCAGAGGTGGTTTGGACATTACAGAAGGAGCCTTATTTGTTAGCGTAATCGATCGTTGTTGTGTTTTCTCTCCAGGAAGCATATCGATGTCGCCATTAAAGTGCTGAAAAACGACAACGAGAAGTCACTGAAGGATGAACTGATGAAAGAGGCGCAGTTTATGCAGCAATTGGATCATCCGTACATTGTGCGTTTAATTGGTGTGTGCGACGCAGAGCACCTGATGTTGGTGATGGAGATGGCATCGGGAGGACCTCTCAATAAATTCCTGTCCAGTAAAAAGTGAGTCATCCCCTCAATATGACCCGTCAGAAAATTATTACCTAGTTGTTCGTTTGGAACTTGCCTGCAGAACTCTTGCACGTGAGTCAGGATTAAGGCTGACGCTCCAATGCAATGCTCCGGCAAGCATAACATTGTCAGTTCACTTTACAGTATATTCTGTGAAGCGCTTTGAGACGTCTTGAAGACGTGATAAGCCGCTACATCAAATGCAAGGATTATTATTATTATTTTTGTCAGAGGTGTTGGTTTTCAGGTGAGATGTTAAAACCGAGGTCCCGTCTGCCTGCTCAGATGGACTTTGAGGTTCCTGTGGCACTATTTGAAAAGAGAAGGGAGTTTCTGCCAGTGACGCAGGCAACAATCCCTCAGATATAATCAGTCGTTTAGATCATGGCTGTTTGTGGGACAAACAGGGGCAGCGTGCAAATCGGCAGTAAAATTCTTGAAAGCGCCTTGAGGAGTTCTCACGAGGTAAAATGCCTTATATCAAAGTAAAAATGATTGTTATTTTTAAACGTGGTATATTTCCTCCCCAGAGACCAGATTTCTGTGGACAACATCGTGGAGCTACTCTTCCAGGTGTCTGAGGGCATGAAGTACCTGGAGCAAAAGAACTTTGTGCACAGGGATCTCGCTGCAAGAAATGTGCTCATTGTCCATCAACATTATGCCAAGATTAGTGATTTTGGATTGTCCAAAGCGATAGGTGCTGATGATAATTACTACAAGGTAAATCTTTTCATCAAATACACAGCAGCCTCTGGATAAGACCAATGTTGGGCCTTGAACCCACCAGCCAAAGTTGTGAGGACTGGGCCATCACCAGGACAAATCTAACCAGTGATAATTATCACATCATGTGTCACCTGTCACTTCTCCTACCCCACCATTTAAATCAGTGGCCCTGAGGCCAATTGAAATGTGGAATCCGAGGTCCCGTCTGCCTATTTGAGTGGATGTAAACGATCCCTTGGCACTACTTGAAAAGAAAAGGGAGTTTCGCCAACAAGCCCCCAAATAAAACTGATCATTCTTTTCATGGCTGTTCGTGGGACGTTGCTGTGCGCAATTGGGCTGCCCCCCGTTTGCTGACAAATACAATCACTCCACTTCACAGTAGATTCCCGTGAAGCACTTTGGGACGATCTCTCGACGTGAAAAGTGCTGTACCAAATACAAGGACTAATATTCTAATTAGTCCAAAGGTTATTCTAAGCTTGAAGGCTTAGTTGAAGACGGGCTGGAAGAGGCTCATGTGGAGCATAAACACCGGCATAGACCAGTTGGGCTGAATGGCCTGTTTCTGTACTGTATATTCTAATGTATTCTAATTGTATCGTCCCAGATAACAGAGGAGAACCTGTCACCAACTCACTCTATGTGTCCTGTCGCCAAACTAAAACAGAGAACCTCTTGACTGAGTTTTTGGAGAGTCCCGTTGAACTGTTTTTCATTGAGACTTTGCTGTTGTTTTGACCTTAGGCTCGAACAGCCGGAAAATGGCCTGTGAAGTGGTATGCCCCGGAGTGCATCAATTTCCGCAAGTTTTCCAGCAAGGCTGACGTCTGGAGCTTTGGCGTGACAATGTGGGAAGCATTCAGTTTTGGGCAAAAGCCATACAAGGTAATGGTCACGTCATATTCTGGTTGCAGTAGTTGCGAGGCATTATTTATCACGTTTACTTTTTTCTCCATCACAGAACCGTAATAATAATAATAATCCTTGCATTTGATACAGCGCTTTTCACATTTTCTAGACGTCTGAAAGCGCTTCACAGAAAATCCTGTAAAGTGAATTGACTGTGTACTTGTGGGTGAATAGTGATTTACAGCACAGAAGGAGGCCATTCAGCCCATCGTGTCAATACTGGCTCTCAGAATGAGCTATTCATTGAGTCCCATTTGGCCTCCATTTCCCCACACCCTTTAATAGATAATTGTTACACACGATATAGCGCCTTCTCACATCATTGAGATGGATCAAAGCACTTTACAAGATTTACTGTAAGGCACAGTGACGGTCTGTATTGTAAGTGAATGTGGCAGCCGGTTTGCGTACAGCAATGAAGTGAATGACTGAAGGGAATTTGGGGGATTGTTGACCAGGACATTGGAAGAAACTCTCTTCTCTTTTCAAGTATTGCCGTGGGATCTTTAGCGTCCGATCTGAAAGACAGAGCAGGTTGATAGGACCTCGGTCTCCACCAAAAGACGGCCCCTCCAACAAAAGTAACTCTCCCTCCAGCACTGCATTGGAGTGTCAGCTTATTTGTGAGGTTAAAAGTCCCACAACCTAATGATTCAGGGGAAAGAGCTGTACAACTGAGAAAGGCTGATGCCATTTTTGTGTTTTTTTTTAATTAAAAGTGAGTCAATTAACATAACACTGCTCACCATCTTCACCTCGTAATTGCAAATGTGCTGTCACGTGCGCAGATTCAAATCGATTGAATGAACCAACTTTTCAGTTTAAAATGACAGCTTGCTGCATTGCGATAGTTTGCACCTGAGGTTATCTCTGTCCAGGCTGGCCAAGTGCTAAAGGCACGACTGCACAATAAGGCTATTTAGCGGTGGGTGGCAGACAAAAAAAGTTGAAACAGAATCAAATCAGCGCTACACATTTAGAAAGAGGCCGTTTCCACAATGGAAAAGATAATTAACAGCCGAGGTTGCCTGCTCTGTCCACATGAAAGTCATGTTTCTTTTTGAACCAACTTCGGTCTTGCTGCACACAAAAGCATTCAGCAAACATGTCCCGCGATGTTATTTACAGCACTCTCTATTCCTCGCAGCAAATAGGTCTGAAGTCAATTCACCTGCAGCTGAAAGGTAGAGCAGACATACCCACTGGCCTGTTATACAGACCATTTGATGATGTTATACGGACACATTTGATGTTACGCGGATCGGGTGACACTGTGCAGGTTTCCTGTGGTTGAACAAAACAGGCTGGTCGATACTGTATGGCACGCAGCAGTAAAGGTTGCCATCTTTGGTGGTCGTTTTTTAAACTGGTTAAAAAGGCTGGTATGGTGTCCTGCAAATTCGCTCACTTAACGTATTCAGAGGTTCAGATAATTTCGTGATATACAGGGAGAAATTTCGTCTCTTTTTTGAGTAATCACGGAACTCCTTAAGGTCCACCCGAACAACTAGGTTTAACGTCTCGCCCAAAGGACAGAATCTCTAACGATACAGCACACACCCTGTGTGGGAGTGTCTGTCGAGACAGTGAGTTCAACGTTTTAACTCGGAGCTTGAACCCACAACTTTCTGACTCAGAGGTAAAGAGCCGGGGGCGCTCTGCATTGTCCAAGGTGTCGTCCTACGGATGAGATGTTAAACTAAGAGTCCCGTCTGCCTGTTCGGGTGGTCACTAACAATACGGCAGAGAAAATTGGTCATTCACTTTGTGGCTGTTTGTGAAACGCTGTTGTGCGCAAATTGTCTGAAGCATTTGCCGACAAAATAGACAATCACTCCGCTTCGCAGTAGAAATCCTGTAAAGTGCTTTGAGAAGTGTTGGCGATGTGATAGCGCTGTGTTAACTGCAAGGATTAGTATTTCCACTCAGAATAGAAAGGGCCTAATTGTGACTTTCTAATTATGAAAATGTATCATGAGAGATTAACATCACAGGATGTATCTTGCTCCCCCCCTCCACCCCCAATATCTCACCTTGTCCCTTCCAAGAGACATTAGTCATGGGTATCCAGACTCTGAGCCACTATTGTACATTTAGCTAGTCATTTTGAGTGCAGTAACTCTATAGATTACAACTGGAGATAAATCAATAAATAACTCTAGATTTATTTTGGTGCTCTAAATTTTACTCGCAGTAATTTCCAGTCTTTTGAAGTTACTTATTTTCTTATTTTTCTTCACATATCTTCAGTAGGGGCTCTTGCCCCTTATATCCCATTTTGTGTTTATAATAATAATTGTAATAATCCTTGCATTTGATACAGCGCCTTATCACGTCTTCGTCTCAAAGCGTTTCACAGAATAGACTGTAAAGTGAATTAACTGCGTATTTTTTGTTGGCGATACACGGCACTTAGGCGGCTAATGGTTTCTGGAATATTCCGGCACATGAACCTAGACGTCACTTTGATGAGGACATGATTTTCTCCGTAAGGGAGGAACCTCTTCACAGACAGGGTGGTGAGAATTTGGAACTCACTGCCTGAATCCGTAGTCGAAGCAGAAAGTGTCATATTTAATCCTTAATAAGCCTTGCATTTGATATTGTGCCTCTTCACGTCGTTAAGCCCTCTCATCACAGGATTTTACTGTGTTGTATTGAAAGAGTAGAATTCTGTGAACATAGGAATAGGAGGAGGCCATTCAGCCCCTCGAGCCTGTTCTGCCGTTCCATTAGATCATGGCTGATCTGTACATCAACTCCATTTGCCCACCTTTTCTCCACTTCCCTTGATACCCTTACCTCACAAATATCTATTGACCTCAGTCTTGAAAATTCCACTTGACCCTTTTGGGGGTCCAGGCATCCTCTGTGTGGAAAAATCTGCTTCTACTTTCACTCCTAACCGGCCTAACCCGTACTTTAAGATTATGGATTCCCTCATCAGAGGAAATAGTCTCTCTATATCTACCCCATCAAGTTCCTTTACCATTTTTAGCAGCTAGATTAGATCACCCCTCAACCTTCTGAACTCCAGGGTATACAGACCAAGTTTATGCAACCTGTCCTTGCAAGACGTGATAAGGTGCACTTTGAACAATGCAAACGTTGTTACTGTGACTGTGAGGGTATGGGCGAGGCGATTGTGATTAATTGTGTGATTTCCTTCAACATTAGGCAGAAATACTTTACTGATACACACTGATGGGCGGACCCTGTTTAAGACAACAGGAAGGATTAAAATCTGCTCTGTTTTTGCAGAAAATGAAAGGTCCAGATGTCGTTTCGTTCATTGAACAAGGCGGGCGATTGGAGCGTCCCAACGAATGCCCAGAGGAGATGCACAAGCTCATGCAGGAGTGCTGGATTTACAAGTAAGCGCTCGGAGAAGCTGCCCCGCATGAGAGGGCGCTATATAGACCCAAGTTGTTTGTGTTGTTGTGGTAAGGCCAAAGGGTTCACTGATAGCCCCATTCAGATCAACGGGTGCGTGACAACCTGGAAAATGTGAAGTTCCTGTCCACATACAAGGCAACCCGTTCAAACCGGCCTGGTTTAACTCAGGTTCGCGGGTGTATTGTGGATCCACACAAGACTGGTAACACAATACGAAAAAACCAGCTTCCGGCATTGACCAGCTGGCTTCTTACCCTATTCATGGCTGTTTGTGGGATGTTTCTTTGTTAATATTATTATTATTCCTGGGTCCGAAAAAGTCCGTTACCCAACTGACAAGGATCCAGCACATTTTTTTAAGAATTCGGCTCTCAAGAAAAAAATAATTGCCCTGCCCCCAACCCGTATCGTTAGTGTCTTAGACAAGATCACAGCCAAACCATTTCAATACATTTTTTTTTCCCAAATGAGGTGTCAGAAAATGTGTGACAGTGGAGTGTGTTGGTGTGGAATGTGTCATGGGTCTGATGTGCGAGTGTTTCTCAGTGGTATGCAGTACGTTCAATAGCCGTATGGCAGTGCTGCTTCAAGAATATGTCTCACTTCATAAATGGTTATTTTTAGCAGACTTTTGTGGTGGCAGAGATGCTGAAGCTACAGCAATGGCTTTTAGCCAGTTTATTTGCTCGGCTGTATGAAAAAAAAACTTCCAGTAAAAATAAGTTTCTACAAAATTCTACACCTGACATCTTCGCTGTAATTCATTTTGCTGTGCTCCATTCTTTCAAATTCAATGAAAAGAACAAAAAAAGAACGCTGTAGGGGTAATGATTCCAGCCTAAATTGATACCACCAGGTTGCAGCAGCTCACACAGGAAGATATAGATACTGTGTGGTCATTGGAAGGCAATGCATAGCTCTGATCATCAGCACCAATCAATAGTTTGTTCACTCAATCCACAACTATTTGTAGGACATTGCTGAGCACAATTGGCTGCCACATTTCGCTCACAAAATATACAGTCAATTCGCTTCACAGTGTAGTCTGTGAAACACTTTGAGACGTCTCAAAGACATGATAAGACTATATCAAATGCAATAATATTATTATTATATCAAATGCAAGGATTATTATTATTATTATCAAGCAATGTAAACACTCTCTAAGAGTGTCAAATGTACCCCTAAAATATACAGATCTACACCAGCAAGTTTTACCTGTGCACTTAAACTTTTTCATTTACTGCGTTAAATCCTTTTCTACTCTGTTCTGCTGATTAACTGGTTGAGTTCTGAATAATCAATAGATTCTGTTTGGGATATTTATTCTATTTATGCAGCATATTCAGAATGTCAAGAATATGGTAAATCGTTGCACTCAGTCTTAACTTTGACTTTTTTTCTTGAAAAAAACTTACAGCAAACCAGCTTCAAAATGAACGTTGCCTTTAAGAGTTTGCCAAATTTTGGGGGTTCTGAAATACTGTATCAACAAGAGTAAATCTAGACTCTGGAGGGATGCTTTGGTCATTTTACAATACAAGATAGTTTATATTTATATAGTGCCTTTCACATCAGGAGGACGTCTCAAATCCCTTCACAGATTTTTACCGTAAAGTCTAAATGATTGTATGTTATAAGCGAACCCTGCAGCCAATTTACGCACGGCAATGCCCCTCAATTTCTTTGACAAAGCTGAAATGTTTACAATGTGTTCCACTGTGTTTTCCTTCACAGGTGGGAAGAACGACCTGGATTTGTTCACGTTGAGGATAAAATGCGCGACTACTACTATAAGTTGACTCAGCAGCTGGCAGCAGCCGACGATGCAGCAGATAAGAGCTGAAGATACATTTATCTGCCGAAGCAATCTACGTATTTTCTATCATTAAGAGCTTCTGTAGTCAATAGCTATGAAAGCTTATTGCGACTTTAAACCTAGAAAATTTAAACACGTCATTCATCAACCAACGGGACTTTGATCAGAATTGGTTAAGTGCCTTGTGATGCCTTCCTGACGTGAAAGGCTCTATACAAATGCAACTGTTTTTTCAAGTAATTGATCTCATCTTCTGTGCCACCAAAATTCAATCTGAAATCCCACAAATGAGCTGCACAATGTATTGTCTTTCATCAGAACTGCTAGTCCTGAACTTGCACGAGTTAGTGAATAGTCCTGGTAAAATGTTAATTTTTAAAATAAATAAATAAATATATCCAACGCTGACTTGTATTTACGACAATGAATTAATGATGCATTAAATTGTTATATTAAATTAGAAATTGCATCAAATCCACTGTTATGTAGTCAGCTATTCGGATCACATCATGACTAATGATAAGCTGTGGCTTGTCTGTCTACAGTCTTATTATTCGGAAAAAAATATTAAAGGTTAATTTAAAAAATACTTGGAAAGGCATTCATAGCCAGCATAGATTTTATTAATGGTGTTCTGTATATGCATTTCCAGAGGGCATTTGATAAGGTAACTCACAAGAGGCTTCTTAGAAATAATAATGATGTGAGTGAAAACTGCAACCTGCCATGTGATAATTGTCACCAGTGTTAGTTGTTATGTAATGGAAAATTCTACCCTGTTGGTGGGTTCATTTATTGACCAGTCTGTCAGTGTAACTCTGAACTGTGTGTCAACTGCAGATCATTGCATTAGTCTGCCATCATAACCATTACTTATTAAACCACAAGAATGTGTTTTGCTGGTTACCCTTCCTATAACGGACATCCTGCACCAAATAACATTGCAATTCACAGTTAACTCCTCTGCTGATGGGTTTGTGTGCTGGGATGTCCTCCTGATGACACGATACAAGACACTATACAAATGTAATTTGTTAAAAGATTCAAAGTCCCATCTCTTTACCAGAACTGCAATACCGCAATGCCGCAATGTGCCAGGGCAGTGTCCACTGACAAATGTGTGGTATGATATCCTTTATTGCTTACTCAGGTGACACAAAAATACATGGTCCACTTTTGGGGGTTGATAGAATGAGTACAATGTCTAAATGTTTCCTCCTGGGCGAGTGGAGGCAAGCAATACTTTCCAAGAGGTGAAACAGGTTCTCTTTGATCGTGCCTTTGGTCACCCTCCCACCTCTCTACCTTCCCTCACCCCTGCACTACCCCTCCTCGGGTCCCAACCCCTGACTGTTCAGCGCTTTGGAAGGTTCTCCCGACGTGAAGGGCGCTCTATAAATGTAATTTTGTTGTTGTTGTCAGAAGGCATTGTGATGAGGACAAAAAGACATTGCTGTAACCCAATGCGTTTCCCGGGTCATCCTTGAGATTTGGAGACGTCCTTGGTTCCCGCAAGCCAAGGTCCTAACAGGTCACCCACCCAAGGCTCCAGCTGGACAAGTACCATTAAAATGATCAGGGCTTTGTATCAACAAGTGGCTACCATTACAGATGGAAATTACAGAACAGACAGATGACGTGTGGTCCATTTAATTGTGGCAGCCTGGCTCAGTTGGTAGCACTCTCTGCCGGTTCAAGTCCCATGTCGGCCACTTTGGACGCACAAGTCTAGGCTCGGTGTAATGCTGGGGGAGCTCTGCATTGTTGGCGGGGGCAACCTTCAGACGAGACTTTAAACTGAGGTCCCATCTGTGCCTGTTCAGGTGGATGTTAAAGATCCCACAGCACTGTTTATAAAGAGAAGGAAGTGTTTCCTGGTGTCCTGGACAACAATTCCAAATCAGTCATTGACTTCATGGCTGTTAGTGGGACATTGGATTGTGCGAATTGGCCTTAATCAAAGGCAACATTTCTGACAATGAAACACTTCCCCCCCAGCCTAGACTGACCTCAAAGTCCCGACGTGGGGCTTGAACCCACAACCTTCTGACTCATAGGCACGAGTGCTACCAATTGAGCCAGGTTGACATCTTGGCTGTGAGGATAAATAACATTGAGGTTGTTTGGAATATTACCAAATGAGAACTTCCATTCAGCTTCAAACCACATCCCCTCCAATTCTAACAAACAGGGGTGGCAGAAACCAACAAAGGCACTCACAGTCTACATTCCAATACACAAAATTCACAGAAAATTCATGACTAAAACGGACCACTATGATCAACCCACTTGTACGTGGTATTATTGAAATAAACACTATCTGTCAGTATCGCACAATCAAAGATGTGATAGGTGCAACACTGAATCATCCAGCTTCTGAGTGTGATGGTCAAAATTAATCATTACAATATCACATCATGTGAGCAAGATCAAAATCACCACTAGCACTCAGTGAGTAATCCAACACTTAACGTAACTACCACAAACACCGTCATGTGCCTCCCTCAGTTCCTGGCAATAGGTAAGTGCGGTTCAAAGCTTATAACTTTAGAAATGCTATGCCCTTCCGCACTGCCCGCTCCCTCCAACTCAACAAACTGCCCGCTCCTTGTCCCAAGCCTGATCCGTCCTTGTCATCAGTGAGACAGCTTTCAGCTCTTTTGCCTCTGCGCTCCACAACGCCATCCTGGAATCCCTCCACCTTGTCCCTCGCCACCTTCAAAATGTTTTGACGGCACTTTCAGTCCACTTGATGCCCTCCGCTCCCAGCTCGGCCTCCCCAGTCAGTTTGTGTTAAAGCGCTTTGAGACGTCCTCCTGATGTGCAAGGCACTGTATAAATATGAATTGTGGTTGTATCTTGTGTACATTTTTGGAATGCTTTTCGACAGTATTTCGTGAAGAATGCCCATTAGGTTGATAGATTTCAAGATGCTGTCTTTTCAGCCCTCTAAGACGCTAACCCTTGACTTTATATTAAGTCTCTGAGTTAAGTCAGATAATTCCTGATTGCAGCATAAGGAATAAGTGCAAGGACTTCCATCCTGTTGGCTTTGCAATTAACTCTAAGGCATGCCTTTAATTCCATTTCTCCATCTCCGTATCCTTACTTAACAAGAATCTACCTCTTTCTCTCTCTTTTGAATATCTTAATCAGTGTTTATTCTTCCTATCCTTCCTGTCTAGTTGTCCGGTATTGCTATCTTGATTGAGAAAGTAAACTCAGAACACGAAGACGCAGATTTCAATTTCAGGATACCACAATTTATTTCTTTACCCAGAGAGTAATTAACCAACTTGCTATTGAGAGCACACTGATAACTGGCAAGCTTCACACTACTTGTCTAGCTGGAACCACCCTACCCTTTGGGGCTTTGTCATGCAGGGTTACTACATGTGCAGGATGCGTAATCAGTTTTTACTCAGACTTAGTAGTGCTGCATGTGTAATTGGTATTACTGGATATCTTAAAACACTTCACAGAATATATTGTAAAGTGTGTAATTTGTGGGTGAAAATTGGAGGCCAATTGCAGCCAGCAGTGTCCACACAAACAATCGGGAATTGAATGACAAAAATGCTTTTTTTTCTGAGGGATTATGACCCCCGAAAAGTAATTTGCAAATCGACGAACAACTGGATTCACACTTACTGCTAGATAAACAGAGGCGCGTGGAGTAAAGAAACTTGCCTCAGATTTTGCTCTGCCTGGGAATCAAACCCGGGTCCTCTAGTTTGTGACCTAAAACGCACCGTGGTACTTATCTGTGCTGAAGAGCTGTTAGGTTTCCAAACCTTTCTAGACTGCAAAACTGTATTAAAATGCCATATAATAACAAAACCAAAACTGTGAGCTGTAAAGTTATGTGTATGACAAGGCAGCAGCAGAATAATATCTTGCCATTTGTCTGCTTTTCTGACTATAGTATGTCTTTCTGGTAAAGTCTGTGGTATCTCATGATGTGCTCTTTGTGTTAATTAACAAATGGAACACATTATGAAACAGCCAACCATTGTTTCAATGCTTCCTTTCCACGACAGACTTTTAAAGTTGCACGTGCAAACAGTCATTTAATTTGCAGACAGTGAGTATCAGATATAAATGCATTCACGCACATCGCAAAATATCTACAATCCCTCCAGATGAGATGTTAAACCGAGACCCCGTCTAACTATTCAGGCGGATGTTAAAGATCCCATGGCACGATTCGAAAAGAGAATCATAATAATAATAATAAGGAAGTTTCTTCCTGTGTCCTGCCCAACAGTCCCCTCAAATAAAATTGGGGCATTTCAGCTGCAGTACCTGCCTAGAAAATACACAATTGCTACATTTTACAGTAAAATCCTGTGAATTATTTCCATGTCATTATTTCTTGACGAGTTATGAATATTCACAGTTATGGGTACCCAGAGCATTTTAGCACTTGACTTGCAAGTGAGAGGGCTTGGGTTTGATTCCTGGTTGGAGCAGGGGACACTGCTGTGTGCGATTGGCTGCCACATTGCACCCACCAAAATACACAGTTACCCCACGTTACAGTATGCAATAATAATAATCCTTGCATTTGATATAGCGCTATTCATGTCTTCTAGCGCTTCATAGAATATACTGTAAAGTGAACTGACCGTATATTTGGCGGCAGCCAATTGCGCACAGCAGCGTCCCACAAACAATCATGGATTGAAAATGACCAATTATTGTTTTTTTTGTTTTGGAGGGATTATTATTATGTTCTGCGAAGCGCTTTTAGATGACTCAACGACGAGAGAAGGCGCTATATCAAATGCAAAGGTTACTGAAGTTATTCCTTTTGGGAACTTGATAGATATCTAAAAAGGAATAGTTTGCAGGGGCACAATGAAACAGCAGGTAAGTGGGATTGAAAGAGCCAGCACTGATAATAATAACAATAATAATCCTTGTATTTGATATAACACCTTATCACGTCTTCTAGACTTCTCAAAGCGCTTCGCAAAATATACTTTAAAGTGAATTAACTGTATGTTTTGTGGACGGTACTGGGACTGAAAGTTTTTTTTCCGTACGGTTAATTTTTATGGCTCTATAATATTTCATTCATTTCTACCACATAGCAACATGATGACATCCTTGGGGGAGGTGTTTTCAGGATGTGCTGCAGTTTATATGTGGGTTTGGAGTTCAATTAGTTCACCCCACACAAAGCACGAGTTTAGATGTGAGTAATATACACATGTTACTTTGTGGTTCATTGAATATTCTATTGATAACTACATCTTCCATATTGGGTGAGGCAAATAACTGTCGATGCTTTGAGTATTTTCTATACAAAGGCGTGAGGTGGTGTATTGAAACATATCTAAAATTAAGCACACATGTTTAGTTCCAAGATACATTGGAAGTTCTGTAAAAAAGAGTCACGTC